GGGTTTTTTTTTTTTTTTTTTTTTTGGTACCAGGGATCGAACTCGGGTCCTTGCGCTTGCAAGGGCAAGGCAAGGGGCGGAACCACTGAGCTAAATCCCCAGCCCCTAGTTAAAATGTTAATGATAATGTTGACATCTTCTGAGTAGTAAAATGGGAAATAGTAGATATGAAGTCTCTGAATTTAGAACAGGAGAGTTTAACTGAAAAAAAGAAACACAAGTGACTAAATTGAAAAACAGATGTAGTATCTTATTGTACAACTCATTTCTATTTGCATTTTCACACCAGTACCAACCATAGCAAAACCACTCATATTTAAAGCCATATTATTTTATTTTCTTCACATACACATATAAAATCAATGAACAAATTCTCTTTATATCTTAAGGTATAAAATTACCATACACTAATTAATGTCACAGTTAAACAGTTTAAAAGGATCTTCCTTACATCAGAAAAAGAATGCATCACTAAGGTAAAATAGAGGTTTAAGGCCAGCCTGGGTGGCCTCAGCTTTTCTGGTAAAGACTCTGTTGCTTTTTCTACAAGCTTAGCTGCCATCTTTTGGCTCTTGGTGTTGGTCTGAGAAGATCCTTCAGGTACATAGCTTTGAACCAGGTATAAGTTATGTTGGTCCAGCAGTTCTGGCTGCTCATCCTGACACTGAATCTTTTATCTCAGATCAGTATTTATTAAATAGTCACTTTAGTGATCCTCAAGCTGGCTGAGACTAATCATTAACTGGCTAGAGGCATTGATTGATTTATTCAGTCAACATTTACTGAGGGCCCGTTTGGCCCTGAAGACACAAAAATGAATCCACTTCAATTCCAGCTCTTAAGGAGCTCATAAGTACAAGGGCAGACAAATATATTTGGGTTGACTAAGACATTTACTTGAAATTTAAAACAAACTACTGCAAATAATAGGGTCTTAGATGAAACCAGGATTGCAAATAAAGGCCTAGACTAGGTTAGCCTCCAAAGAAAGGGGCAGCCTTGCTGGTGGTAGCTGGAATGATCAGCTCAAGAGAAAGAAACAAATGAGGATGGTTGAAAGAATACAGCCGTAAAGGAGTGGAGTCAGCTGTACATTCTATGCACTTGTAAAGCGGTGTGCATTACAGCTGTTGAGAGCAATACTGAATACCAAGAGGGAAAAGGTGATCTTGAGGCAATGCAACGTCCAAGTTAACACTACACTAAACTCTCAGGTCAGATAGATTTAGAGTAAGTCTCGCCTTCTTCCTGTATCAATATATGAAAGCCAAGCCTCAATTTCCTCAACCACAGAATGAGACTAAAATAGTCTAAGAACTGAAGTAAAAATAAAATACATGTAACAAGCCCAGTGTGGTGGTACATACTGCAATCCCAGCACTCTGAAAGGCTGAGGTAGGAGGATCACAAATACAAGTCCACCCTGGGCAATTTAGGGACTCAGCAAGATATTGTCTCAAAGTAAAAATTTTTAAAAAGAGCTGGGGCTATAGTTTAGCATGAGGGCCTTAGGTTCAATCCTTGAAAAAAAATTGTTTAAGATTAATTATAGCTGGCCAGGCATGGTGGTACATAGTGTAATTCCAGCACTGGGGAGGCTGAGGCAGGAGGATTGAGGCAAGTTTGAGGTCAGCTTGGGCTACATATTGAGTTTAAGAATGGTCTGCACTATATATTGAGAACTTGTTTCAAAATAAAAAAAATTACAACTGGATATGGTAGCACACACCAATAATCGCAGTACTTGGGAAGCTGATGCAGGAAGATTACCATGAGTTTGAGGCCAGCCTGGGATAGAGAATGAGTTCAAGGCCAGTCTGAACTACATACATAATGATCTGTCTCAAAGAAAAAAAAAATGTAAAGAAAGCATTTAATACTTAATAAGACTTCTAGTTGCGTTGTTACTATTATTGTTACAGAAAAACAACAACAATAACAAAACCCCACACACCAGCTTTTCTAGTAACCATAGGGAAGATAGGAGCATTAAGGGATAGTTTGGAGGTAGAAGCAAAGGCAAACCAGCAGAACACAACCAAAGTAAAGGAGGAGAATTGGGTTGCCTCTTTCCAGACGTTGCCTGGGGCTGTTTCCAAGGGGAGCTGAAGGAATTGCCAGTTCCAAGAGCCCAACTGGTCTGGTCCCAGAGCCTGTGAGTGCCTCTAGGTAGATCAGTTGTGGGCAGCCTGCTTTATGCCCAGGGAAGCGCCCTGCATGAATATACTGTGGTGTAGAATAATAGACGTTTATGTCATCTGGAAGGCTAAATAGTAACACTCATATTGGCAACCTGCTGTGTGGCGGGGGGCGGGGCTGGGAACATGTATTTTATTTTACAATGTGCTTCTTTCTGTGTTCTTTTTTCCATTATGAGAATGAATTCATATGTTGGGTTTTAAAAAATTGTGAATCAAACCGATTACAAAAGAAGATGAAGAAAAAAAGTACCTGCAGAGGCTGCTTGCAGTCTGAGTCCTGGCTGCCTGATGACGGGCTAAAGCCTCCACCCAGGAAGAGACCACTGGATTATAAGCCCTGGGGAAAAGAGAATGAGAAGGATTGGTGTCCCGGTGGTGTCTGCCAGTCCCACAGGACAACACAATCATGAGAACTGCTCCTCTTTTCCAGACACAATCCAGGGCTGGAAAAGTTCAACAAGTGTGTGGAACATCAGAGACCTTCCGGAAATGCTGAATTTGCTCCGAGATGTTCTGAGGCCCCGTGCACTTCCCTGGGCAGCCTCGAGGCTTAGCAGCGCTGCTTAAGGAGCCCTGTCCACACAGCAATTCTTTCCTTTCCGGCCTTCTCTTTCCAACTTGTGGCCCTTCCCAGGCCTGCGTTCCAGCCCCGCCCCTCTCTCTGGACGCATCTCTGGGCCCCATCATCACCCGGCGCCGGGCCCTCCCTCCTGCCCCCCCCCCCCTTCCTTCC